AATACATCATTTAAAAAAAAGTATTAGATGCCTTATGTGTGCCCAGCTTCTTGCTAGGCCTATAGGAAGAGTGCAAAGTACCATATAGTCCCTTCCTCATCCCAGTTCTGGGCTCCTCTGGCTCTTCTGTGCTGTAGTCTTGCCCATGTGTGAAAGGAACATAGAGAATAATCTATCCTACTATGTTCTCTCCCTGTTAACATACATACATTCTCCACACTTCCCAGAGTTCACAGGAAAATCTTCGTGAAACAACCTTGCAAAAGAATCTGTTTGGATCATGATCGGGCTTGGGTACTTGGAATGGGGAGGGAGCTGTCATTCCTGTTTCCACCAACTCCTTAAACATGTCAGACTGGATCTGAAGCTGGAAGGGGCAATGTCTTTTAAAGTACTGGACCTTGTTTCTGTTATGGGAAAAAGGGAAGTGAGGACTGGCCATTCTGGTGCTCTGGATTTCATACCCCATGCTCACCTAGAAAAGAGACCGAAACCTTTCCAGAGTAGATTGGGAGTCACTGTTTTGGAGGAGTGAAGGTGCTCCGTAGGGCTTCTCTGAGGAGGGATTATTGGAGCAGAGCCCTGAATGAAGGAGGAGAAAGGGCTTTCAGGTAGAAAGAACTACAAGTGGAAAGGCCCCAAAGCCGGCTCCAGAGGGTCAGGGAAACTATTCCATCCATCCAGTTCCTCCCCCCTCCTCCTCCCAACAGTGAGAAGTGGGTTATTTGCTTCTAGATGGATGTAAATTTCAGCAGCCTCTAAGGGTGTCTCAGAGTCCTGGAGACTACATTGTCATTAGGGCTGGGCAACAGACTTTAGGACTGGGACCAGGGTGGGGTTTAAGTATATATAGAGAGGCCAGCAGAAGAATCTTCTCTCCCGAATGTAGCTACTGCTCCCCAAACCACTTCTTAGGCTGACCGTTTCCTTTCCTCTACCAGGACCGCAAAGGAATCCACCGCAGAGTACACAGAGTGAGCCCCGGTCCAATGGTGGTCCCTGGGGCCGCCAGGGGCTTCCTGCCGCACTGCTGCCATCTGGCCAGGGCCAGGAAGGGTTGGGGACTATTGGGGAGAGCCCGAGATGGGCCTCCCAGCCTGCCATCCCCTTCCTGTCCCTGGACCCACCTGCCGTCCTTGTGGCTCTGGATGAGCTTGCACCGCAGGGGAACCTCAAGTCACATAGGGGTAACCAGTAGTACCCACCTCAAAGGACTACTGGGAGGATGAAAGGGGTACATACACAGAAACATATGAGAGCCATTCCATATTGATGCTAGTAATAACTGGAGAGCAGCAGTGATAGGCTTTGCATGAGTTATAACCCCAAGTCCCAACCAGGTCTCCTAGATGGCAGTACAGATACTCACTTTCCTGAAGAGCAGATGGGCCCTCTGGAGGGTGTGGCCAGAGCCCCACATCTTAGGAGATGAGGAGAGTGGCTATCTTCTGGTTACTGAGGCTCTAAGGGTCAGGGCAGTTGGTGACCTCTTCCCATGCAGTCCCCTTCAGGGACTGTGAGGTGGGTCAGCCTCCCTTTGTACATTGTTCCAGGATTTGGAAAGGCCATTTGGCAAACACTATCTAATAGAACAGAAATGTGAGCCACATCTGTAATCATCACTTTCCTTAAAAACAGGTGAACTAAATTTTAAAAATATATTTCATTTAACCCAATATATATAAAATAGTATTTCAATATATAGTCAACATTAAACATTATTAATGAGATATTTTGTATTCTTTTTTCATACTAAGTCTTTGAAGTTAGGAGTGTATTTGACCTATAGCACGTCTCACTTTGGACCAGCCACATTTCAAGTTTCAGTTGCCACATGTGGCTTGTGGCTACTGTAGCAGACAGCACAGCTGAGACAGCCCTCAGACCCACTCCTGCAGCCCAGACCAGTTTTATCCAACTCTGGCTTCAAGATGGAGGAATTGTGAGATGATCACTTGCCCCAGGAATGTTGGCCTGGCAGAAAAGATAACCAGGGAGGAAAATCTTTATACTGACTGAACAACACAACTCAGAAGAAAAAGAACTACACTTCTCTCACAGTAGATTGTTAGTAAATGTACTAAATCCTGATTAAGTCCAACACTCCTGTGAACAGTTAGATATGGCATGAAATGTCTGCAATATCTATTAAGAAACAAGTTTCGTGGTATACGAAACAAATTTATTGTGAATATTAATTTTTGCCATTAGCTTATCTTCTTAGTAATTGTCTTATTAATTACATATAATAAGTTTGTAAGTATTAAATACTTGAAAGGTACTAAAATACTTTAAAGTATTGAACAATTAAGACTTTTCATCAATTCACACGTAATTACCCCCTTCCCTCTTTCGAAGCCTCCCTTGTACTTATTTTTTTTCCAAAAGTCAAAGAAATTTGGTGGTATAGCAACTTCAGAACTCAATCAGGAAAATGATGGTTAGGACAATCTAAAAATGGTTCTTCTTTTGGCACAGTAATATTTTTTTTTTTCTTTCAGATTTCCTCCCATGCATAGACCCTTTCCTTCCAGGGCAAGCTCCAGCATGGGGTGAGGTACAGAAGAGAGACTTGAAGGATACACCCTGGCACTCAAGCACAAAACCTGCACCCTTGACCAGGGTCTCTTATTCCATGTCTGTGATGGGGCAAAATGGTATCTTTGTTTATATGTCATTTATGTGTGTGTGTTTTCATTTGTGCATTTGTCTTACCTTCCTTGGGCATGTGCCCTTGAAGGCAGAGGGTGTAATCCCAGAAACTTGGCCTGAGAGGTGCCAGGGTCTCCAGAGACACTCAGGTGAGGGGGAATACTCACTAGGACATAAGCATTGCTCTCTTTGCCATTTGCGATCAACCACTGACCCTTGAGAGAAGGTTTTATTCACACAAGGGCAAACATTCTTTTGAATTTGACCAGCTATAATTAGCAGCCCAAGCAAGTGTCTGGGCTGAAAACTGTCTCTGGAAGAACCAAGAAACTCCCTCTAAAGTCTGCTCTCAGGTCTGCAGAGGGGCTCTTGCCCCTGCTTGCAGATTTTGTTTAAAACTCATCCTCTTTGAATAAGATGTCTAGGATTTAAAATACTCCAGACTCCCCCCACAAAAAAATGGTGTCTGGGCTGGGGTAGGGTGGGAGGAGTGTCATAGATGAAACGAAATAGCAAAATGTAAATAGATGCTGAAGGTGAGTGAGTGATTTGTAGTACTATTCTTGTTAGTTTTTTATATTTGAAAATATCCATTTTAAAAATACCCTCTTCCAAGAAATGTTTCCTTCTTTCTTTTCTACCTGCATCTGTCCCCTTTGCTCAGTTTAAATTCACATTGTCCCTCTTATTTTATCCTTCCTGCAGGGCACAGCACATCCTGCTCCAGAGGCACAGGGAGAGAACATGCTATATCCACCCCTCCTTCCCAAGAAGGAGGGGAACAGAAGCTTCAGAGCCCACCCCTGCAGGTCTGTAGTTTTAAAGGCTTTTTTCAATTGACCCTATTTGCGTCCAAAAGATGAGGACCGCATCTATGGGGTGTTTTAACCACAGCTCTGGGTATTTGAGTTTCCATCTGCTAATAAGAAAATGACTGATGACTATTTTGTTTGCTTACTCTCACTGATCTGTTGGGTGACATGGCCTATAACTTACAGTGACAATACCTGTCTCCCGTGTCCCACTGAACTGAACTGGGGACAGATCCATGGGTCTTGAGGGGAACAGTCAGTGGTGAGGCCAGTCAGGTGAGGAGAGCAACCCAATTTGTGCTCTAAATAGAGGGCACAGGAGGTTCTGTGCACAAATGCTGACCCAGCTCACAGAGAGCCACCTGGACCAACTTGTCAGAAGGATTCAGGGATACCACTTGAGATAAAGAAAATAGCAGAGCAGATTCCATCCCCATAGAGGGGCTTCTTTGCTACTCTAGGTTCTCAGATCCCTGGAGCTGGGGCAATGAGGAAAGTCTGCAGAATGTTTGCAAACAACTTGAATGCCCTGAGAATTAGAAAGGATGTCCCTTCCTTCTCCCCAGCCTTCCCTAGAAATGTGAAAATCACTTCTTTGATAATGCCATCAACTTTTGATAATATTCTTTGTGAATTATCCATGCTTCCTTTTACCCCTTTCCTGGGTCCTGAGTTGCTTTCTCAAGGCTAGGTCACGGAACTTTGAGACTGTGTACTGATGTGGTATGATTGTGTATCAGGTGCTGTCCAAAGCCAAGGAGCAATACTTTGGGTTTTCTCAGATACCTTCCCTTGCCCTGGTCCCAGCCGTTCCTGAGCCTTTTGCCCAGGCTGCTGCTGGATAGGTTTATGCTTCACCGCTTCCAACCCAGGCTTGGCTGGGTTCACACTGGTTACTCAGGAAACCCTGGGTCTTCAGAGGAAGGCGTTGATGTGGTTTAGGCCCAGGGGACTTCTCATTACCCACCCCTCCTTGGTCGTTTCCTAGTGCATCTCCAGGCCAAGGTCTCTGGGCTAAGGTCATAAAACAAGCTGGACACTCTTCCTTCCCTCCTGAGCAGTGTACTGGAGGAAAGCTCCCCTCTTGAGTCCCTACTGCCCTTCCTGGTGGCACAAGTACCCCTCCCCCCCATATTTCTAGGACTCCCATGGCTTTGCCTCCTATTGGAGAATGGAACTCCGGAGATGGTCTAGCTGGGGAAGGTACAGAAAACAGGGAGCCTGTGCTTGCCCCTCCATTCCCCAAGGTGTAGCTGTCATAGATGTTGCTGGGGCTCACAGTGACCTTCTCCCTACAGGGCTCACGGTACATGGTAAACCTAGCTGCAGCCCACCTCTGAAACAGCCACCGCACCTGCTGTGAGAGAAGGAACCCCGGAATCCGCGGACCAGTTTTCCGGGCCTCCCTCTCTTCCCTCTGCTACCGTTCCCTTTCTAGGCCTTAAGAAAACTGAAAATAACTCTCAGCTGGAGGAGGTGGACTCCAGAGTGTGAGTGGCACGCTGCACCCTGAGGGCGCCCGGCCTGGCCCTCATCATGCTCGCTGCTGCCTCAGAGGCAGCAGCCGGCAGGCCTTATGGGTGCAGTGAGTGTGGAAAGAGCTTCCGCTACAGCTCGGTGCTGCTGCGGCATGAGCGCGCCCATGGTGGCGACAGCTGCTTCCGCTGTCTAGAGTGCGGCGAGCGCTGCGCACAGGCCGCAGACCTCCGTGCGCACCGACGCACTCATGCGGGCCAGACGCTCTACATCTGCAATGAGTGTGGCCAGAGCTTCCATCACAGCGGCCGCCTTGACCTACACCAGAGCGCGCACAGGCGGCGCAGCCGCTCCTGCCGCTGCCGAGCTTGCGGCCGCTGCTTCCCACACCTCCCGGCTCTGCTGCTGCACAGGCGCCACTGGCACCCTCCCGAGCGGCCCCGCCGCTGTCCGCTGTGCCCTCGTGCCTTCCGCCAGAGCGCACTGCGCTTCCACCAGGCACGGGCACACCCGTGGGGGACACCGGCCGTGCCCGCTGACACACTCCATCGCTGCACTCAGTGCCCGCGGGCATTCCGCAGCGGTGCGGGGCTTCGGAGCCATTTGCGTGTGCACGCGGCCAGGAGCCCTGGTGACTCCACACTTCGGCAGCCAGGCACTTCGGACGCACACCAATGTGGTATGTGTGGCAAGAGCTTTGGCAAGAGCTCCACACTAACGCGACACCTGCAGACGCACTCGGGTGAGAAACCTTTCAAATGCCCAGAGTGTGGCAAGGGCTTCTTGGAGAGCGCCACCCTGGTGCGCCATCAGCGCACGCACACGGGCGAGAAGCCCTACGCGTGCAGCGACTGCGGGCGCCGCTTCAGCGAGAGCTCCACGCTGCTGCGCCATCGGCGCAGCCACCAGGGAGAGCGGCCACACGCATGCGCCACGTGTGGCAAGGGCTTCGGGCAGCGCTCCGACCTTGTGGTGCACCAGCGCATCCACACAGGTGAGAGGCCCTTCCCCTGTGCCGAGTGTGGCCGCTCCTTCAGCGACCGCTCGGACCTCACAAAGCACAGGCGCACACACACAGGCGAGAAGCCCTACCGCTGTGAGTTGTGCGGCAAGCACTTCACGTGCGTGTCCAACCTCAACGTGCACCGGCGCAACCATGCTGGCCACAAGCCCCACAAGTGCCCTGAGTGTGGCAAAGCCTTCAGTGTGGGCTCCAAGCTGGCACTGCACCGCAAAACGCACCTGGGCGAGCGGCCGGCGGAATGTGCGGAGTGTGGCAAGTGTTTCAGCCACAGCCGCTCCCTGTCACAGCACCAGCGGGCCCACACACGTGCTCGCGCCGCCGCAGCTACAGCTGCCACTGCCACTGAGGCCAAGGTGGGCACTGCCCTCATCTTTGCTGGGCAAGCAGGACAGGAAAAGCCAGGGCTTTTTGTGTCTCAGTTGAGAAAGACTTGCTGAGAGTCTCCGGACGTGGCTAGATAAGCACTTTTATAGTGCCATAGGGATGGGTGGGACAACTCGCAGATGGAGTTCCGTGGAAAGACAGCGCGGCATATTACCTTTCTCCATCTCTGTTGGTAGCACTTCACCTGGCCTCTCGCTGCACCCCTACACCTGCTTCGCCTGTCAGCTCTTTGCCTGTTCTCTGTCCGCCCTTCTCCCCCTCTGAGGTGTAGGTGCAGGGGGAACCTCCCAGACCCCACACGTGGAAGAGCGCCCAAGTATTGGTGTGTCCCACCCCTGCTGCTGTGCTCTCAGGTGTTTCCTGTTTTCCCATCAGCATCCTGTCTTCTCTTGTCCCATCTCCTTTTTCCAGCCTGAGTGTCCTCTACCTCTTCTTTCTAGATACTTTTGTTGTACTGCCTCTTCAGGTAATGACCACAGATGTGGCTGGAGTCACATCCCACAGGCCCTGTGGTTTTCTTGCCTCTTCCTTTCACTTGACTGTTAGTCTCTCTGCTGCTTTCTCCCTCAGCTTCTGAGAGATGGGAAATTTGAGGAGAGATAGTGGGAAAGCTCACTTCACTGAAAGATATCTCCACACCAGAAGCACCCGGAGAAGTCTTCGCACCATGTAAAGGTGGGCAGGAGCTCTCAGCGTGGCTGCCCACCTGTCCCATGGGACAGACCTGTTGGTGTACAGATCAAGGTGCCTCTCAGGACAGTGTTCTCCAGGTGGGGGACATCAACCCTGGGACCTGAGTCAAGACCACATGGGTCCACAAAGCTGGGCACTGCCAAGTGCAGTAAGAACGCTATACACAAATTAAGCTTGGAGCCATGAGGAAACGGAGCTCCACAGAGGCCACAGCGCAGGGATGAAAATTCCCTGTAATTGGCCAGCGATTTTTTTGCTTGCAGGTGGTGAAATAAAGAATTATTTGAGTTCCAGATGCCAAGAGCTCCCTTTGTCAAACCTGAGGCTGCTGTATTTGCAGACTTCAGGAGTCACCCAAGAGACAGGCCCTTTCAAAATTTCAAGGTCTCTGGTCCCTTCCCAAGCTAGCTCAGCAATCTTGTACATATAGCCCCCTCATTTTTGCACTGGAAGGCAAGACTCTTCAGGGGCCCCTATACATTTGGTTCTCTTGGTTAGTGGAGAGTACAAATGTGGCCCAGGAACACATACCTCTAATCCTACTCCAGCCCAACCCTCTGGAATTACCTAGTGCCTTGCTTGAATGCAAGAGTGGAAGGAGTGCCAAAGCGAATTGGGAAAGAAAGCTGGGTCTTCAGGGTGGGTGCAGGTGGGGGTCTGCAGAGAGAAGAATAAGGCCTGCACTTAGGGTGCACTCAGGCACATTCCAGGAGAGCCTGCTTCCAAAGGAATCAAGATTCCTGTACCTCAGGTGCCAAAACACTCGCTCTGCTGCTCTGCTCACACACGTCCATGTAAAATACTGGGTTTATTCTGTCCTTTAGGAAGACTAAAGTAGCCTGGCTCCCCTAGAGCACAGTCTTGCCCCTGCCCTGCACTCCCCATCACCCTAGTCCCCAGGGACCAGTCATCTGGCCCTTCTTCCTCCTTTCCAGTCCCTGGCTCCCCAAATTCTGGGGAGTGCTCACTGCTAAGGGAGCAGTGTGGGAGCGTGATGAGCCAGAGAGGGCCTGGATCCCTCATCTGTCCCCAGGGATGCAGGGGCAGAGATGCTGGAACAGGACTCCAATGGACCAGCTGATTCTTGTGGGGCCAGGAGCAAGGCGGGGTGGCTTTTGCTGCGGTGAGCTGTGACACTGTCTGGCTTCTCGAAGCGCTTGCCGCAGAACTCACAGGGGAATCGCAAGGCAGCCACCGTCTCTGCATGCTTGCGCCGATGCCAGTTCAGGGACGCCTTCTGGCGGCAGGTGAACCCGCAGATCTCACACCTGAGCCAGGGACAGCAGGGGGAAGAAACGGGCCTCAGCCCATCTTGACTTCCCCAGGGGGTCCTCCTGGTTCCAGCTGCCCAGATGTCCTGCCAGCACCTCCCCATTTCCCCCCACCCCGGGCTCTCTTCCCCACACTCACTGCAGGGGTTTCTCTCCAGTGTGGATGCGCCGGTGGATGGCCAAGTTGCTGCTGGTGCGGAAAGAACGGGCGCAGAACTCACAGATGTAGTCTCGGGTATCTGTAGGCACATGGGGGACAGCCCAGCATCCATCCCCAAGCTGAGGCCCTTCCTTGGTCCACCCCCACTGTCCCCCAAAGGAGTACTGTTCCTATTCAGCCTGCATATCTCACTCCTCCCACACACACCCCCAACAGTGCCGTGTGACCTGTCAGATGCCCTGTGGGTGTCAAGAGCCAATCCCCTCTCCTTTCTCCCTGAACCTGCCCCCCTGCCAGCTCTAACAGCACCTGCCCATCGCCCATCTCCAGCAGTTCTCACAGGCCTGCTGTGGTTTTTCTCCTACACCTCCTGCAGCAGAGGAGGTAGCCTTGCTTTTCATGGCATCCTGTAGACCTCTGTACCACCGCTGCTCTGTATACCCTGCCATCAGACCACACAGACACCCCTACAGCCTTCATCCCCATCACGCTCCTGCAGTCCACACAGCTCTGGCTCCAGGCCCTCTCCTCAGCCATCACCACTGCTGTCAGTTTGTTTTCTACATGTCTAACACTCCCCTCCCCTGTTCCCTGACCTTCACTGACCTGGCTGCCCCCCACAACCCTTCTCAGCCACCATTCCCAGGTCATGCCCCATCACTGCACCCCCTTGAAATCACAATTTCAGACATCCCAGTTCCAGCCAGGGCCCCCTACCTTGTCCTGTTACAGTTATCCCACAGTTCCAGGCTGCCAGTCCAGCAGCCCACTGCCTTCGCACTGTCCCCATCCCGTCTCTTTGCCCAGTTCATTTCCAGGGCATCTTTGTAGCCTTCCTCCACTCACACTACCAACTCACCTGTCCCTCTCTTCCTCAGCTGTGCCTGCTTGGTTAAAGCCCAACTCAGGATAAATACAACCCTTGGCCTGATCCAGGCCGGCACATGTATGCCAAGGAGGGCAGAAACACAACCTACAACACCCCACCCTCACCCCACTTTGAGCTCTACTTTCATACACAACTACAAGTGTCAAGCCTCACCCCCACCGCACACACACAATGCCTTTGCATCTCCTTGGTCAGTTCACTCTCCCACTTTCTAGAGTTCAGAAGGGCATTTTCCACACGACCTCCTCTTTCTACCAACCTCACTCAGCAGTGACCTTGTTTTATAAGTCACCAAGAAGAGGAGCTAGGAGAGAATGCCCACATCCTCCCCCTACCTAATCCACCAGCCAACTTGCTTCTGTGCCCATATATGTGAATAGTCCCTGCTTCCCTGTGGCTGCCCTCCAACTGTGCTCAGATACACCCCTCCCCAACGACTTAAGGTTGCTAAAGCCACTCTGGCATCAGCAAGCCTTTCCTCTCCGTGGGATCATTCCCATCTCTGTGCTCAGGCTCACAGCCCTCCAACTTACACCTATTTCTCTGCTTGTCTTCACAGTAGAACTCCGAAGAGTTGTCCATACTTGCTGTCTACACTTCCTTAGCTCGTCTCTGCTCTGAACCCAGTCCGTTCTGGCTGTCATCTCCCTTGTCACATGCCATTTTGTCATCTGGTCAAGGATGGCTTCCCATCGCCCTGCCTGGTGGCCTGTGCGCATCCTCATCTCACTCAGCTCTGCAGCACCGGCACATCTCACCCCTCCCTCCTCCCTGGAGTACTTTCTCCACTTGGCTCCTCAGATACTGCTCTCTTCACCTGCCCCAACAGCACCTCTGTAGCTGCCCTTCCTACCTGCCCTGCTCAGACCTCTCCTCTACCTATGTTCACTCTCTCCCTGTAGGAACACTCCACCCATGGCTCTAAACACGACCCATATGCTCATGATGAGCACTTTTTTCTTGCCCAACATCTCCCCTGAACACAAGATTCATATTTTCTGGGATACCTAAGTAGCATGTCCCAAATAAAATGTCACGTCCCTTTCCTGAGGCCTGCTTCTCCCTCATTTTCAGGAAATCACATCACCTTCTGCCCTGTCGGCTCAGGCTGGACCCCTCCAAGTCACCCCTGACTCCACAGTCCTACCCATGGACAATCTGTTCTTCCCACAGTAGCCCTGGCTCCATCTTCACTCTCTTGTCAGTCTCCAGCCACTTCTCATCAACTCGACTGTCTAGGTCACTATCACTGTGCACTGCACATTCCTGCTGTCCCCTATTCTCCACATGGCAGTCACAATGCTCCTTTTAAAATCAGTTCTGTCCCTCCCTCCACCGCACTGGTGCCCATCACATTTGGCCAGGAGCCAAGCCAACCGATGGTGGTCTTGCAGGCCCCTACCACCTATCTGACCTCTCTTCCTTCCTTTCTAATCTCCTGGCCTCCTCTCCATTCCTGGAACATGCCCGCAGATGCCAGTTTAGGGTCCTCTCATGTGCTGCCTGTGGATGTGGCGAAGCCTCCATTCCTCCCTTCACTTAGGTCTTTGCTCAAAGCACCTTTCACAGCTCTTTGTAGCCCTTCACTAGAGTGGACATCTTAGGTGAGTACTGCCTGCTTTATTCACTGCTGTATCCCAGCACCTACGACAGTTTCAAGCAGGGAGGATCTAAACACACAGAGAGTGCACGATGAGTGTGAGTGAGAGCTATCCCAGAGCAGTGTGATAAGACCTGCAGATAGGAGGTGATTGGCCTCCTGGGGGAGGTGAAGGCACTCACAGAGGGAGGGGAAGGGACCCACAGCGGGAGGTGAGGAGGCATTTCCACCACTCACCACTGTGCAGCTTCACATGCTCCTTCAGGTGTTTCTTAAAGTTGAAGGACTTCCCACAGGCCGGCTCTGGGCAGGAGAAGGACTTTTGGTGGATGTGCTGGTACTTCTTGTGGTGCTAGGGGAGGAAGCACATGGTTTCCTCAGGGCAACCACCAGAGCTGACCGAGCGGGCAGGCTCTTCTGCCCTCTCCCACAACAGTTCT